TGCAACATGTGCAACAAATGCTGCATTCTTCTCCGACACCAATGCGCCAATCGTCGCGTGGTTCTCATCAAATCAATCAGGCCGCTTACAGTTTGCGTGTCCGATGGTCTCCTCGGCAGCAGCTGTCACCTCGTCGCGAATGTGGTGCCACAGGTCGCCCACTGTGGCTATGCGTTCCACATCACACAGGCGTGCAGCCATCGCGTTCTCCAGCTCAGTACGTTTCGCCACACTCTTGATGGGGAGAATGTTAAATTTACGCCGATTCACGGCGGGAGTGCAATACATCGATTTACGAAAATATATGTACAGTTTGGTCCGCACCAACTTGTGATCAGTGCCACACTCAGCTCAACGCAGTACACGTGTCATGCGCACTTCACGCATATCACACTGACGTACGATGACAAAGTCGAGCAGGTGAGCGTGACCACTCAGTGGGTGCGTCCAAGTCGCTATATCACTCGCACTCAGTGCAAAACGAGTGTTGGTGATGGTCAGGCCGTAGGCGGCACACAGTGAGAGCAGCCTGTTACCGTTCGCATTCGCTGAACCAATGCCATGCGTACCGATAACACCTGTCCACACCGATGCATCACACCCAACGCGCGCATTGAAATCACCCAGCAGAAATAGTCGGTCGCTTCTCGACACAGACGGTATCACGGAGGATAGCTGAGTGTAAAATTGATCACGTGTGTCATCAGGATAACACATGGTCGGACCGTACGTGTTTATGAAGGTGACCAACTTACCTCTTCCGAGTCGTAGGCGAACAGTCATCAGTCGCGCGCTGGGACCTGTTGGTTCACCCACCAGCTGGCCATGGAGGCGATCGGATATTGCAAATCCGTTCCCATGTTGTGGCGCTGAGGTGGTGTTGCTCAGCCAGCAGAATGTGTAGTCAGCATCTGCTTCAAGCAACTTACCTTGCTCAGCGAGCCGGGTTTCACAGCGCTGCAATATCGATGTGGTAGCGCGCCAGTTCCATCGCAACCAGTGCAGTACGTCGCTCCGGGCGCTCGTTGGAGTTCCGGTCCAGTAGTGTGTGCGAGTTCCAACACGCGATGCTGAGTGCTTTGCGCGCAGGCATACGATTGTATTGGTGAGCAATCGCAAGCGATGTGGTCGTTGTGCTTCGGAGGTTTGCTTGAGTGACTCCACCCGGAGCCTTTGGCTCAATAGCCTGACCCACAAGGCAGTGGGGAGCAGATCCAGCTCGGGAATGTGATTGCAGAAACAGATGGGTATTTGCTTGACGGCCGTCACACGCAGCCTTGGCGATACTGGAATGATTAATATATGTTTTGTGACCGTAGTAGGATACACCTGCGACCACGGCCAGACGCGGGTGGATATTGGCGGGTTTGCACCAATTTGACCAGGGCCTGCCTTGCCTGAGGCGGGCAGTAGCAAACCATTGAACACCCGGAGGTGTCCTCCCACCGTCAGAGACAATGCGTAGCACTCGTGCTCTACGCCATTCGAGCTGTGAGCTTATAACCCGTAGACCTGTTGTCTCCCATGGCTAGGTTTTTCGGGAAGTGGGCCAACGACCACTTCCTAACCTCCGAAAAGGATGGACTAAGATACTGGCAGGGCGCCCACACCTGGCAGGAGAACGACTCGGGTCCTCAGCCAAAGCCTTCGATTAAATGAACACCGGAAATGCAGCGTGTCTAGCACATGACCAGCTCACTGACTGTTGCTATATATATATATATATATATATGTATATATATATATCCACATAGGTTTTTCTTGCTATAACCAGTTACCGTTGGGAATACTCGGCGTGACGGTGATCTTTTAGAGGATTGTTTGCTATTTGATAAAAGCTATACCTGGTATGCTCATTTTTACTTGAATGACATCTTGGTTTCCCTTAGTATTGATTATGTACATCGGACAGCACTCACTGCTGTCCTGGAGCGCTCCCAATTCAGCGGACTTAACTTAAATAACTCATTGTTCCTTTTTCTCCCAAAGGATTTAGTATCGTTTTGCGTTCAGCTTCAATCGTCTGCTTTTCGACAAACTTGAGTTCTGCGTTCTGGTGTAACTGACACCGTATAATATCCAGGAACTGCGATCATTTCTTGTAATAGCAACTCATTACATTCGTTTATTCCCCGCTGCAGCTACTACTTCGCGCTCTTGTATGCGCTGCTATCTAGGGCTACCCTATGGTTTTGGTCACCAGAATAACCAAATGCTTATGTTGCTGTCAAACTGCCTGGTTTAACTGTATACTGAATCAAGCAGACCGATTAGTCTCCGGAGCGACGCGGCACCCACAGGGTTCGGAGTTGTGCTACCACTCAAAATGGAGGACATGATCAAAGGCACCATATCACTTGATTCCAAAATCTTGGCTCCAATGGAGAGGAATTAGGTCCAACTAGACTAGGAAGACTTAGCGGTCATCTTTGGGGTTAAGCAATTTAACTAATACTTGTGGAAAAAAACCGTCGGAATTTTTACAGACAGCAAAACTTTATTTGCATTTTTCGGCGAGAAAAGGACATCAAGCAGATGGCACCCCTCGCATGCAGAGTTAGGCCTTACTGATTTCAGCTTTCGACTACAGCATCTCAAATGTTCCAGAAAAAGGGAATGGAGTTGCCGATGTTCTGAACCGCGTAGCGTTTGGTCAGCTACCGAATACGTACTGAAGCCCACTGAACTGGTTCATTTGCCTCAATATTTCGCTGGAAACTTAGTGCTAAATGCAGCTTTCTGTCAAGAAACGGAACGGTAGGTACTAATTGATATAGTCAAGCGTCTAGTATCCCAGTGATGACCTGATAACTGTGATCCGCAGTTGCTATCATATTTTACTCAGCGCTTGGAGTTTAGACTTGAAGATGGACGTCTATTCTGCGAATCTAGAGCTATCCTACCTCATCGGTTGCTGCCAGGCTTTTGAAAGAGTAACAGAAATTCCACCCAGGAATCATGAGGATGAATGGACTGGCGCGATCGTATGTGTGGTGGCCTAAAGTTAACAGAAACACTAAAAAGTTAAGCTGACACTGCGACGCCTACCAAAGCACACAAGGAGGCGCCCCTCATGTACCACTCAGCCGATGGAAATTGTCCAGTAAAACTTGGAATCGGGTACACGCCTGCTTCTTTGGTCCGCTGGACAGAAAGATTTTTCTCACCTTGATCTCCGCCTACTCGAAATGGTCTGCTTTTTCTCCGCTAACACGAGCCACGTCTGAGACTACAGTTTCGTGCATGCGCACATGATTTACAACCTTCAGTATACTACACACACTGGTGACAGAAAATGAATCTGTGTTTATTAGTAACGATTTTCAGAAGCTTTTGCAAAATAATAGCAGATGTGAAGTCAACCCATTTTGACTCAGCTTCTAATGGAGTAGCTGCAAGAGCCGTGCAAACAGTCACAAATGGGTTACGAAAATAATTGCTGGGTCCAATGCAAACTAAGTTAAGCAAATTTATTCTTAGTTTTCACTATACACTAAACGAACCGACCGTTATGAGTCCCAACTTACTAATGTTCGGGCGGAGATTAAGAACAAGGCTAGACTTGCTATTACTATATCAGTCGCTACGTGTAGAGGTCAAACAAGATAAGTCTTAGGCCAAGTAAGACTGGATGGCGCTTGATCGACAGCTTGGTGCAAACGGACTGGCTGATGTCACGTTGCCTAACGAAACGATCTGACAGCCTGGAGATTTGCGTGAAGTTGTGGAACAAAATCCATAAGTGGCTCTACAAGACAGCAGGCTATTCAATCAGCTCAACGTACATGTCCGTGCCCGCTTCGTTTTGGTTCTACCAGTCGACAAAGACAAGCCCGTTCACTGCGTTGGAAGACGTGTAGAGTGCCAATCAACCGGAGTCTCCGCAATTTCGTCGCTCAGACAGCGTACGCCAACCAGGTGATCTATACCAAGCCAGCTAGATTAACTCTAAATAGAAGAAGAAGGAATGTGGCATATAAGCGAAACGAGTTCACGTGCTTTGTTTTGGCTGGACTCAGCAGCGTCTGTAATTGCCAAATTAACGCCAACCTAACCAGTGACCGGACTGAGTTTTCGGAGCGTTGCGTTTGTGGCCGGACACAATACATTTTGCATACTGTCCTGACTGCTAAGGTTTTGCTAAGATGGACTAACACTAAGGTTGATCTATCCTGACCGTTCTGGAACGTAGTCCTAGATGAAGAATCCAGCTTCCTAACAAATTTCGCCACACACTTTTAGATTTTTCAATGGCTTTACTGGTTGATTTCAATTTTTTGAATGAAGATTTCAGGATTGGTTGTCGCAAGCTATCGACGATCTAGACGGAGTGACAGGCTTGATCTTCATCATTGCCATTATTAAACATTTACTGAACTTGAGAAACACACTTCGGTTACCCGTGCAGCAGTACGAAAGATAAGACATTAAGAAGAAGAAGATGCTATACATCACAGAACACTAGAACTAAAATGCAGGTAACGTAATGTTTAGTTTCATATTTTTCATGCAATGCGCTAACATGTTAGTGGAGGAAGATAAGCGGTAACTGGATGGACAAAGAAACTCACAGCCCTGGTTCACCCCCTCGTTACACCTATTTAATGCCCCGTCGTATTCTTATGCAAAAACGCCTTGACTGTACTCTGTCATATTTACACTACATGATATAACCCATAAGATGATGGCATTAGTGCAGAACAAACGGTGGATGGTGTCATAATTCTCCTAAACTCCAGGCAGAAATACTCACAAATATGATAATGTAGACGCATTAGTGCGTCGTATATCTCGCGCTGCTTATTATCATGTAATTTTCACCTTAACCATCCTACTAGACCTGTCAAGCATTTGATTTGTATACCTGTCACAAATCATTGCTTCACTGCAACACACGTCACTGAGATCGCCTCTTCGCCATGTCAACTCTTTTTGCCAACCAAACGTGTTCATCGTTCTTCGGAGACTAGCATGACAGTATAAAAACACCAGATAATGCCATGTTCGAAGGGACCGACTTTATTATTTCTGACCAATTCATCGCTTGGCCTCTCTTCATCTTCTTCCATCCAGACCCCGATAGTGAAAACATCGCACCTCGTGTGAGTCTGTGCGCTGCCGTGCGCAAAGTGTGGGCTACTTATCGGATCCTGCTGCGCAATATAACGGAGCTAGCAGTTTACTCGCTGTCACGTGTGTAACTGCCGATGTACTGATTTACCGCTTGACCGACAGAGAATCTAACGACAATTTGCAGCCTTTTTGCAACGGTTTATGTAAAAGAACACAGCAAGTTTACTTCTATAAACCTAAAACTAATTTCCACAGACACATCTTGACATTTGTGGAGACCCGGTTCGATCTAGGAATAATCAAGACAATGCAAGAAATGCCACAATCTAAGGATGTCAAAGTTGTTAATCCTTTAGATGACGCGCTGTTATTTGAGACGATTATTGCTAAGACTTGCTGAAATCATGACGTACACCCGGATGCTGTATCCTAATTATGTAAAGTGGAGTTAAGGAACGGAGCAAGAGGTCGCTTTTAAGATAATCAAGCGTTTGGTCAGCTATGCACTAGTATTTGACTACTGCGAACCAGGTCTTACTTTGGTAATGCAAGGTAAGAGCAGCCAGAACGGGATAGGCGCCACTCTTATCTCGGATGGTAAACCCTTGGATTTCTTCTGGTTGGTGCTTTTAGAAGGTCAGTGAAGCAATAAAAGTTTAAGAAGGTGACACTCGCTGCTGTCTACGCGATAGAGCATTTCACTACTTCCGAGTTTGAGGGGAAGCCTACCGCGCATACTGGCTATACATTGGTTGTGCTACTGGTCAGTAGGTCGATTCCTATGGTTGCTCGATGAATTCATCATCACCATCATACACATTAGCTATAGGTGATGAACACCTCAGCTACTGTGCCGCAATACACAGAAAAGAGGAGATTTAAAAAAATGTAACTGGTGCAAGCCGGCTGAGCTACCGGTAACGGATGGGCATCGTTCCGGTAAGCTACCAGCCCGCTACTGTGCATAAAAAAGAGTACTATGCAAAATTATATAAGGCTAAATAATGAGATCGTGGTTGGAGGGGGAGGCTAAGAGGGATGGGGTGGGAAAAAGAAACTCACAGCACGAACGCCACTGAGGTCGGCTCCCAGGCAAGTGTGTCCAACCAAACGTGTTCATCGTCTTTCGGACCCCAACCAGGGAGCTGAGACGCTCCAACCGAGGCCAGCTCAGAAGTGAGGGCCTTCGTTCCTCTCGACCAAGTCATCGCTTGGCCACCTATCCTCTTCTTCCATCCACACCCCCGGTGAGCAAATAACGCACGTCGGGGGAGTCGGTGGGCTGGCATGCGTAACACGTGGCCGAGTCATCGGAGCCTGGTGCGTGAAATAACGGTGCTGAGCGGTTCATTTCCTTTTCCTGTGCCGTAAACAAGGCGTCGAACACGCTCGTTGCTCAAGCGGTGTTCCTACCAGCTGTGAGCTAAATTACGAAAGCACCGGTGTTCGAATGTCACTGGCCTCTTCAGGTCCCTTGCTTTAAGAGGCCAGGTTTCACAACCGTACAGTAGGATGGAACGTACCGCTGCATTGTACACACTACCCTTCAGGGCAAGAGTGATGTGGCGCCGCCGCCATAAGTGGCGAAGGTTAGTAAAAGCGCCCCTACAATGAATCTCACTTCAAACAATTTCTCGATGAATTCAACGCATACTTATCCACGTCAAAAATTCAATAGGGACACATATGTTCATCGCAGATCATATGCAGAGAACTCATCGTCCCACAGTTGAACAACATCAGCAAGCGATTGGGGCATTTATTTTGGTGCAACATCTGCCGGTAACGCACGATAGTATGCAATAAATAAGGAGCCATACTGAGGCGGAAGTGCCGTACCCAATATTTCAAGACGTGGCTTCGAGAGGATGACCAGATAGGAAGGAAGAAATTTTATATAAATTCGCTATCTTCTTTGACCATCAGGAGGAGCTCACGTTGTGTGACCGCTTGCTGTTCAGAGAAAATCGCATTTTATCTCATCACGCTAGCGAAATTAGTTGTTAGAAGACGCTTATTGAGCTCACTTGGGCGTTAACTCCAGTATAAACAGAGCGCGATACCTGATGTGCTGGTCCGGCATGACTAGTCAAATAGGAGATCAAGTATCGAGTTTTTGTTCGTCGCAATCAGCCGACAATTCAGATATGTCGACCAGCTGTCCGGAAAAGCACCAGACGGCCGTTTCGCCCTATTGGGGCTCATCAGTGGTGCGCATCCTTCGGTCCTCTGCGGAGGATCGAACCCATGACTGCTAGTGGCTCTTGCCAACTAGCCCGCAGCTTATGCAACTGCGCCATGGAGGACGGTATCTGACTATCGGGCTATATCGCATTTAGCTAACAATTCACGAGTCAGATAGCGTCCTCCATGGCGCAGTTGCATAAGCTGCGGGCTAGTTGGCAAGAGCCACTAGCAGTCATGGGTTCGATCCTCCGCAGAGGACCGAAGGATGCGCACCACTGATGAGCCCTAATAGGGTGAAACGGCCGTCTGGTGCTTTTCCGGACAGCTGGTCGACATATCTGAATTGTCGGCTGATTGCGACGAACAAAAATACTCACCAAAATCCTTCCATTCATAAGTAAGTTTCGAGTTTTTACGCGAAAATCGCCAAGCCAGGGAACCAAAGATGTTGTGTAAGGTTCCAAGTCGACAGTAGTAGAAAATAACAGTGGACACATTCAATGACAAAGGAAAATAATATGTAGTGCTGTGGACTACTGCAGCGAATACTTTGTGATTGATTAGCTCATCGCTAGCACCAAGAAGGCAGTCATCAATAAGCTCATATATCAGTTCGCCCGACAAAGAATGCCGGAGAAATTGGTCTTCGAGAATGGCCTACGTTTTACAAGTGCTGCGTTGCAGAACCTTGCAAGCAGATGGGAATTTTGTATCAACAAACAAGTCCCTATCACAGACGTTTGAACGAAAAAACTAGCGACAGTCTAACAAGCCAAGAGACTGTTGTCAAAGACTTATTGCTAGTACTACTACCGGTATCTGATGCTGTTGGCGATTCGCAACACGCCACCATCAAATAGCGGTTACATTCCAGTGCAAAGTCTGTACAGCAGCAGGTCAGGAACCCTAATAACTGTAGCGGCCACACATTTGAATCCGATTATACCGTCGCATAAGCAATTGCAAAAGAGTTTAATAAGACTGATGACAGATCAAAAAGGTTATTACGTCCACCGTACCCAGATATCCTAGCTAAAATTAAACGTGTAAATGTGGATTCAGCCAATACCAGATGTTCACGAACGATGGCAGAAATGTATAGCGACCGCGAGTGTCGGAGAATAATCTCATGAATCTAGTTTCAGTGGGAAGTTAAGCAAAAGAAGCGCGATTGCGGTTGCGACGACACGAGAAACGAGCAAGCCAACCTAAAGCAACGCACTCGACGACATTCTTCTGTGAAAGTCACTTATCGGCTTGTCTTTTTCCACCACGCCAAGGGTGAGTCCACACTCCACGGGATTTGTAAACGGATGTTGGACCGCAAATGTTTACTCTGTGAGGTTTGCAAATAACCAATGATTATATATGCTCTTTCATTAGATACAAGTGCGAACAAACGGCTTATTTTTCGTCGCTAAGCTAATGTTCACATATTTTGGCAGAAAATTTGCAGTGTTGCCAATGTCATTAACTACGTCCTGAAGTAAATGTTAAAGTATGCGCGTTTCATTTTGTAGCAATTGTAATGTGATTCGTGAAGAAAAATACCGTGGATATGATATTAGATAAGAATTCACACAGCTAGAAAAAGACACTTGGATGGTGAGCGGCCTACCAAGCATACATCTCCAGTGGGTTGACACATCTTGCTAACAGCTTTGCGAAGATTTTTGTTTAAGTTTTACCTTCTTGAAATGATGTAGAGAAGATGGAACTGGAGCAACAAGGCAGCTAGCGAGAAAATCCACAAATAACTAGTGCAGACAGGCGAATAAAAGCTACCTCTTGTCCCTGGGTTAGTGATCAAAGTAGATAAAGGAAAGTCTTTAGAGTTTTCCGTAACTGTTGTATGAGTGAGGATTATGACAAGCAAAGTGGATGTTGAGCATGACGTTGGTTGAATAGTGCTACGTTCATTACGATTCACGAAGCTGAATCAAAAATAGAGACACATGTTGTGTCACTTTCCCCCAACGCCGATTATTGCATCGGTAAAGTTTTCCTCCGGGTTCGGATCCTTGTACCAACTACCTGCAGATGAAAAGCACCTACGAGAACTAAATTGACCGTGATGTAGATTGTAAGATGTAAGTAGCACAGAATGCGACTGCTATCTTTGGTGGGCTCTGCCTGGTGTAGCTCAGTGTAATCTGTAAAATCAACAACCGTTGCATTATTGCCTGATACCCATAATAGTAATTACGGACTGTAATCTGTATTTCTCTATTAAACCAATCTTTTAAGCTCCAGTTTATGTAACCTGCTGTGACATAAGTGATGTTTGAACTCGACTGTGTACTGTTCGTGTAAGCGCAACTTCCTACCTCATATTTTGTAATGGTGTTCTCTTACGCAAGGTCGGTAAGTGCTTTGTGCCTGGAAAGATTTACCTGTCCCAAACAGGAGACAGTTCCATGGATGGCCGTTGGCTATACCTACACTTATTCATACTCTCTAAGTCACCATATTTTACTCCTTTTGAAGCATAATACACTCCTAACACTCGATTAGGACCATTGAAAAACTCGGACAACTCTACTATTTGATTGTGTTGGACAAAATGATCAGGCCACGAAATCGGTCTGTGTCACGCAAAGTCGAGAAATATACCAACTATGGTTTTAGTTATTTATGCTAGTTGTGGACGGTTGTGACAGGAATTTCAGTCATCCTTACATGTGTTCGCAGTGTCGTCTGTCATCCGTAATAACACCATCTGCGAACTTACCGTTTGTGTTCTCAGTAATTTGTAGACACGCTTTGCTCGTGCAAATCACTCTGGTACCCGGATTACCGAAGAATCCATGAACCTTTGAGTGTCGAGTGATCAGTCCATCATATGACGGGGCCAGACAATATTCTGGTTACGGATACAAGAATAGAGCACAAGTTCTAGGAAAGAATGTGTACCGCTTTCTAGGGC